TATTTTGGTAGACCAAATTTGCAAGTGTTGTTTTATAGATTGATGTTGTATTGGCTACTGTTAGTTTGTTTTTCCTATTCATCCACTCTTGTTACTTTCCATTTTTGGCATATCTTCAGCTTAAATGCATTTTTGTTGTTTGAATCTGAGCAGTGCATGAACCATGATCTCTCCCTAATATTTTACAGCGTTGCTCCTTTTGGGGTTTGATCTTAATCTATATGCTAATATTTCTTGTTAAATTTTGTGATCTTGTTCTTTGTGCACAGATACCGAACTGGTTTGAAGGTGAATCTTCTGGGTCCACAAAAGCCAATCCATTTCCATTACCAGATGTGTATATGTCGTCTCAGCAGAGAAATGTATGTGCACTGAGCCATGCCGATCATTTGCATAGCCATTTGATTTCTGTTTCTAATAATGGATTCGCATATTTACCTACTTATCCAAAAAAAAAAAAAGGAAAAAAGAATGAGTTTTCATTTTATACCTTTTGGAAGTGATTCTATACAATTCTAAATCAGTCTTAATTACATTGAATTTTTTTTATTAAACATAATTATTGTCTCAGCACAATAACTTAGGGGAGATCAAGCAAATTTTGAAGGAAACGCAACTTGAAGACAGTCGGAAGCGTGAATTAACAATTGCACTGCATGTATACTTCAAGGAATGGTCATATGGTAATCATCGATACTCTTAATCATTTTTAGTAAATTTAATTTCCAATTAGTAAGAGGTCAACTACCCTACCCTAAAAGTAGTGGGGGTTTAGGTATAAGAAAAGTGAGACTTATGAATGCTTGTCTTCTTTTGAAGTGGTGGTGGAGATTTGGGACTGAAAAGGATGCTCTATGGAAACAAGTGATTTGCTGCAAATATGGAGAGGTTGGAGGGGGTTGGTGGCCACTACTTGTTGAAGGTCCAAGGTTATCTCTGGTCTGGAGAGATATCCAGGGGATTGCTGGATACTGGCCTTAGTTGGTGGAATTTTTCAAAAATAATATCTCCCTTATTGTTGGTGATGGAAGGAACATCAAGTTCTGGCTTCATAATTGGGTTGGCAATGTATATCTCAAAGATGAATTTCCGAGATTATATTCTGTGTCCCTTGACAAAACTGAATCAGTGAAAATGGTAAGCAGTAGGAGAAATGGAAATGAAGAGCGAGAACTGGCTTTCAGGAGAGCCTTGTTTCAGTGGGAACTAGAAGAATTGAGGAGACTGAGAGTAATGCTACTTAATGCACCTGCTCTTTGGGATGGTATGGTGGACAGACAAATGGAATGCAGAAAATTCTGGTGTTTTTAGTGTTGCTTCTGCCTATAAATGGAGTGTATCATCTGTTGAAGCTGGCAGAAACTCAGTAGGGTTTATATGGAAGAATGTGGCTCCACCTAAGGTGTAGTTTTTTGGGTGGTTAGCATGGAAAGAGAGAATCAAGACAGCCAGCTATCTTCAAAGACTTGGTGTCATTAGTGATACTTCTGATGTAAACTGTATTTTCTGCAGGAATGAAGTGGAAGATATAATCATGTGCCGCTGTTTTGCCCATTTATTTGGAGGATTTGGTCCAATATTATCAGTTGGTGAGGTGTATCTTAGGCAATGCCTGGATCCGTGTCTGGTTTGTTACAGTGGGGGGCTGGGTTTAAACTAAAAAAAAAAGGAGTTAGCCTTTTGGAAAGCTATACCATTGGCGGTGCTTTGGTCTATTTGGAAGCAGAGGAATGAAAGCATTTTTAAGGGCTCGTTGGTGGATTTTGAAGGCTATGTGATTCTATAAAGGTCAGGGTTGCTTTTTGGGTCAGAACTTCTAACCCCTCTTTTATTTACTTAGTTAATGATATTGTGTATAACTTGAAGCAGGTTAGATTATGTATAAGGGGTATTACGAGTTGATTTTGTGTGGTTTAAGGCTGCTGTTGGGGGAGTTATTTGTGCGGTGTTTTGCCTGGCAGAACTGTTGTTATATGGTTGCAGCTACTGCTGCTATATGGTTTGGTGCTGAAAGGATTTCATCTTGGCACTGCTGCTATGTGGTTGTAGCTACTGCTGCTAGTGTTTCTGTTTTGCACTGCTGATGAAATGATTGCTTATTTAAGGGAGCTCAACCAAATTTGGAGGCGTTATGTGAAGTAATCAATGTCAGAGTGGCTCTGGATAAAGAACCATCACATTGGCAGTTGTTTTGTGTTGCTGATTGCTACTGGCAGTTGCTCCTTTTTTGTTGGTTTTGGTTACCAGTGTGGAGACCTCTCAGTACTTTGCCCTTCTGTCGTTGTACATTAAGCAGTGTGTAGTGTGCTTTTTGGGTGGTCTGTTCTTGATTCACTGCTGATATGGTGGAGGTGCAACTGGTTTCTCAGTTAATGATCTGTGTGCTACTGATTTTGTTGATGCTGTTTGTGTTGGTTGCTGCTATTTTTTGGCCATTTTGCTCCTGTTTGTGTTTTGTTTTGTGGGTGTTCTGTTTTCTGTTATGTTTGTTTGCTGCTACAGTGTATTGGTTGTTAGTTGTTTCTGGGTTGAAGTGTGGGCTTTGCCATTGCTGCTGGTATGCTGTTGTTGATGTTGAGTTTGTTGTCGCTGTTGTTTGCTTGGTGGAGATTATAGTTTGAAAGGGCAGATTTGTCATTTGGTTTGATCCTATAGGTTGCAAGTTTTGGGGTTGTTTTTGTGTTTTACCTGTTTGTTGGAGATTATAGTTTGAAAGGGCTGATTTGTCATTTGGTTTGATCTTATAGGTTGCAAGTTTTGGGGTTGTTTTTATGTTTTACATGTTTGTTTGCTCTGTATGTTGGTTACTCACTAACTTAGAGCTTGGAAGTAGTGCTAGCAGATGATTGCGTATGCATCTTGGTGCCAACCTGATTGAGATCTTGCTGTGTCACCGTGATGTTTTTTGCACCCTCCTTTTTATTGATGTTCTTTTCCATACCATGTATGTTTTCCCATCAATAAAGTTTCTTTTTTTGCTGATCAAAAAAACTACCCTACCCTTAAAATCCCTCGTTAAAATTCTTAGAGGATATTTAAATCCTCATCTTTTCTTTTCTTTTTATTATTTACTTATTTGTAAATCCAAACAGAGAATTTTATCACTGTGAATTCTCAAATTCCTTTTTGCCTTCAAATTCTTTCCCAACCTTCTCACCCAAACACACACCTATTTGAATAATTCTCTTACTGGAAAAAGAAAAAGTAGTTGAAATGTAAATAATATAGATATATATATATATTTCACTTAATTTTACGTATCTTTTTTCTTTCTTTTTCCAAATCTCTTCCCAAATCCATTAACCAAATACAGCGTTAAGAACACAATGATAAAAAAAATTCCTTCTGTTCAATAAACAACTTCTGTACTATTTGCACATCTATTTTTCTGTATTATTGTTTGAAGAATTAGATAAAAGATAAGGCTTAACTCGCTTTTCTATTGATTTTTTTGATGTTTTGACAGCATCAGGAAACATCCGACAGTTTTACTGCTTACAAGGTGATTGAAACTAGTGATAATGTTGTTGTTAATATATAATGTAATATATCATGTATATAGTATAATGTATAATAATATATTATAAGATAAAGAGCATAGGGCATAGGAATCCCTTCTTCTTTCGGTTGTAAAGAAGAAACACCACTCACCACTTTCATTATTCTGTCAAACACCACTCACACACCTTCATTATTATGTCTTCTCCTTTCGGTACTTTCTCTATAAATCAGCATCCCTCTTGTAATCAACTGATATAACAATTACAACATTAATTCAGATATCTTACATATCTCACATGGTATCAGAGCACAGGTGTTTTGCCTAGTCTCTACATTTTTTTTTTTCTTCTCTTCTTCGCAGACTGCTGTGTCTCTCGTCTACATCACATTTTGACATATTGTTGCATATCTCGACCTTCTCTGTCTTCCTTATTGGACCACACTAGTCTCTTCGTCTCCTCACGACGAATCCACCGCCACCAAATTCATCACCAGCCGACGTTCCACGCGCCTCCACGCGCCGCCAGAACTTACGGCCACGCGCATCCTCGTTCTCCAACGTGCTCTACGCGCCTCTTACACTGTCCTGCGCTACTGTGCGCCGCGGCCTCCTCTGCTAACGTGAGCCGCGTGTTTCTGACGTCAGCCGACGTCAGCCCTAGCTGCTTTCGTGCGCCGCCTGCTGTCCTCTGCTAACGTGCGCCGCGCACCTCTCTGCTAACGTGCGCCGCGCCTGTGACATCAGCCCTGTCGCCCGTGACATCATCTGTTTGACCGGATTTGTTGACCAGACCACTCCACTCACTTTGACAAGCCAATTTAGTGCCTTTCTGGTCCTATTTTTTGGTCAGTTCACTCCTTTCCTACTGATTTCGACCTTCTGAATTCACTGGTACCCTCGGATTTTTTAAATTCTACCTCGAAAGTACGATTTTGCCCTCATGGATCGCCTCGACTCCTCTAACCACCCTATTTCCGTTGTTCTTGACGGGACTAACTATGTCTTATGGGCACAAGCTATGTCTGGGTTTCTCAAAGGAAAGAAACTTTGGCACATCATCACTGGAGATATATGCAAACCCATCCAAGTAACCACCGAATCCGCTGCCACCACGGACTTCGCTGCCAAATATGTCGATCGTCTGGAAGATTGGGATAGTAAAAACTATCAGATCATTACCTGGTTTTGCAATACTTCTATTACATCTATCAGCCTTCAGTTTGGTCGGTTCTACCTTGACTTTGCTTCTTCTCCCGCCAAGGACATCTGGGATTTTTTACAAGAACGCTATCAGACTACTGGCCTTGCTCACCAATATCAGCTTCTGAGTCATCTTCACCATATGCGCCAAGAAACAACTCAGACCATTAATGATTTCCTCTCCCAAATGTATTATGTTTGGGATCAGCTCGCTCTTTCTGAACCTCCATGGGATTGTACTAAGGATGCTGCCTTGTTTACTACTTACCGTGACCAACATCGCTTGGTTCAGTTTCTCATGGCTCTTACTTCCGATTTTGAGCCAGTACGCGCATCTCTCCTCCATCGCACTCCTTTACCCACTCTTGAGCAAGCAATTTCTGAACTCCTGTCAGAGGAAACTTGGTTTGGTACTCTCCATCCGCACCCTGTGGACTCTGTTCTTGCTACTCCCCAGACTCGGAGTTCTCCTTCACCACAGAAGTCAACTTTCTGCAACTACTGTCAAAATCGCAGTCTTCCGTCGACTCATCTTCTGGTTAATTGTCCTGTTTGCCTCTGTCGGTTTTGCAACAAGACTGGTCCTGGTCATCTCCAGCAAGATTGCTTCCGCAATCCCGCCCGTGCCTCTCGCAATGGTCCTTCCACCGGGAATTTTTCTCGCAGCCACTCTCACCGTTCTGGGACTCCGTTTAAACCAATGCCTGCTCAACGCACTGCTGCTGCTGCCTCAGAGGATTTACCTTCCCCTGTCCCTATAGATCCTTCCACCCCAGTCTTCTCTCAAACAGATGTCGAAGCCATGTTTCAACATTTTTGGCACAAATCCGGTACCCCTTCCTCTCCTGCCTTGTCTGTCACTGCAGGTAACACTTCCTGGTACTTTGACTCCGCTTGTTGTAATCACATGACCATTGACTCTACTATTTTTACTCCTATCTCTTTTACTCCTCATGTTCCTTCTATCCATACTGCTGATGGGTCTCTTCTGTCTGTAAGTCATGTTGGTTCTGTTTCCACCTCTCACTTATCTTTATCCCATGTCTATCTTATGCCTGCTCTTACTTTAAATCTTATCTCCATTAGTCAATTATGTGAGCATGGTCTAACTGTTACCTTCTCTATGTTACATTGTATCATAATGCTGTTTGTAACACAGCTCCTATATAATAGAGCCTCTATTTGGTTTCTGATATATATTGAATCACAGAGTTTGTTCTCTCTCAATATCCCTCTCTCAACTTGTTTTACATGGTATCAGAGCTTCACATATATAGCTCACTAACCAGAAAACATCACATTTTCTAGTAGTTATCTCTACTTCATCACTGATCAGATCTTTTTTTTTCTCCAAAATTTTCGCACTACCTACTCACGTGCTCGAAATATTCTTACGCTTCCAACGCCACCAACGGCATCCTCAAATCCTCTCTCACGCGCCATCTTTGTCGCCGACGCGTCACCCGCTTCCGCCTTCAACGTCCCACGCGCTCCACGCATCCACCAGTCGCTTGAGCCATTTCTCTCCGCGTCTCACGCACTACACGCATCCGCAAGCCGCTTAAGCCATCCGCTTGATCCGTCTCTCCTGCACGTGTCACTCGCCGCGCCGCCCATGCCCCGCGCTGCTTTTGCTTCGGCTTGCGCCCCTTGCCCACACCTCTGCCTTCGGCTCCAGCCGGTTCAGCTCAAACCGGCTCAGCACCTTTCCCAGGCCGGTTCACCCCTATGTTTGGACTTTTCTGGCCGGTTCAGCCCGGTGCCTCACTAATTTGGACCTTCTACATTCACTGGTGCCCTCGGATTTTTCAGATTCTACCTCGATAGTACTATTTTTCCCTCATGGATCGCCCGAACTCCTCTAACCACCCTATTTCCGAGACAAAACACAATAGGGCACATTACTACTAACAGTCTCTTATATAGGTTTGGGATCTGAGTCACTTTGTGCTCCTTACTTTTCAAATCGTGACAGCCATTTCGACCCTTCATAATTTTTTGAATTTGTTCCAAATTATAGGACAATTAGAAGATATTATTTGTGTTCAAATTTTCTAGTTGCGCAAAATCGTTCAATTTAATAATAAAAACTAGATTTTGACAGATAAAATAAATTTTTAAAAATTTTTAGAGAAAATTATTTTTATCCACCAATGATTAAAATTTATAGTAATATAAATTGATAAGAATTAGTGCCATTTGTGATTAATTTTTAAAACATTAATTTACACGGTCATTATCTCAAAACACATAATAAAAATTATTTTATGATAAAAAATAATCATAAATGTCTAAAATGAGTTTACAATTTACGAATTTTATTTTAGTGGGTTAGAATAATTTTAACAAGTTTCAACATATATTTTACATTTATTTCTTTGCAGAAATTAGT